TTGACACACTCCTTTTTAAAGTCCCTCAGACTCCTTTTTAAAGTCCCTCCAAATCCCTCTTTTCCAATGGGAAGTTTTCCAAATCATTACTCTTCGGTTAGTAAATGCTCATCATCACTAAAAACTCTACTGCTCTACCATGTTTAAGACCTAATGGTGCATCCCAAGCATACACAAGAAAAAAAGTTTAAGTCCCTGTCCTCAAAAAAGTCACATCTAGTTAGAGAGACAAGTAAGAAGGAGGTGTTCACAAGAAGGATAGTTGGACTTGGTGTTGACTGGATGTGGGAGGCCAGCAAAGCTGCGTGAATGAAAGCCTTCTGCCACACACACAGCCATTTCCACCTAGTGTCCTGAGCACCTCTGTGCTCTTGCTGGGCTACCCAGTGTTGCCGCTTCCACAGCAGGAAACTCAGATTCTCAGACTAAATAATTAATACAATAATTAGTGGGAAGATGGAAATACTTTTAAGCCAAATGGAAGATTTTATGGCCTAAACCTCTTTTCTTTCTTTTTAAAATTATGGTCAAACCCAATGGACCATGACTAAAGTTTTTGTTGCTTTTCCCACATATCTCACATCATAAATTTAAAGGATTGAGCTCATAAAAAGGATAACTAAAAACTGTCTCACGTGTGTGCCTTCTTAGTTGATGACAATGGACATACATTTTATTATATTTTTATTTATTCAGTTGGTTCATTAAATATTCTGGGCTTACAAGAACCTGTCATCCCTTTAATAAATGCTCCTCATTGACAAGGAGGGGCATAGATCCCAGCCATCTATCTTATAAGTAGTGCATAGACGTCAGCTGTCTTATCCAAAGCTTTCAAGTGGTGAAAGTGAGATAGACATATATACTACAGTGATTTTATGTCCCTTTAGTTCTTCCATAGAGTATGCTGATTTTTTTTCCTTCTCCAGTTGTATTTTCCTAGGTTGGACAAGAGGTGGAGTTGAAGGATGGAAACCAATGGTAGTTTAGTAGGAGTGTGGTCCACTCAGGTTCATGTCTTTCTCCCCTCTGGTCAGGTTTATCTGGCAGTAATCACCTATTAGCATCACCTTCTGTGGCTCAGCCTCCCAGAACAACAGGGAAGGACAGATCCTGCTCCTCTAGAAGTGTCATCATGCTGGCAGGCCCTTTAGGAGCATTCTTGGGGTTTTCTATGACTGTAGCAGTTTGATGAGCATCAAGGCCAATGTAATCTCTGCCTTTCCTAGAACAAGAGATTTAGGAAACTGAAATGGATTAAAAAAAAAAAAACAACTCAAGTAAATATACAACTATATTCATAATAATATTACTGACTTTAAAAAAAATGTTTTCATAGTGAGAGCCTGGGTGAACTTGTAACAGCAGTTCTCCTGGCAATGAGGCCTTCTTTTTGGGATGTGCCTTCAATTGGCACTCAGGACCCCATCTGTGCTAGTCAGCTTTTCATTACTGTAATAAATATCTGAGATCAAGCAAATTATGAAGAGGAAAGGTATATTTTGGCTCATGATTTCAGAGGCTTCAGTCTGTTATTGTTTGGCTATGAGGTATCCCCCAAATCTCCTGTTAATGTAAGAATCCTCAGAGGTTAAATGATTGAATTGTTAGAGCAGAAACCTAATCATTTCACCCTAGTTTGAATGGAATGACTGGGTGGTAACTGTAGGTAGGCGGGAAGTGGCTGAAGACAGTGGGTCACTGGAAGTGTGCCCTGGAAGGGGGCATCTTCCTAGCGGGGGTTGGAGGTGGGGCTTCCTTCTTTTTCTCCTGCCTGACTCTGCCATGAACTAAGCAGGTTTCCTTTGCCATTTCCTGCCTGCATAATGTGCTGCCTCACCTTGGGCCCAAAGCAGTGGTGTCGGCTATCCATGGACTGAGATCTCTGAAACCAGGAGCCCCAAATTAAACTTTCCTCCTTTAAGTTGTTCTTTATATATTTTGACCTTAGCAACACAAAAGCCAAAACATGGTCCATGAAGGTCTCTTCTCATTGTTTTGGGCCTGTGGTAGCATGTCATAATGGAAGCACAAGGCAAAACAAATCCATTCATCTTGTGGGGAACCAGAAAGAAGAGGAGAAGTCTGAGGTTCTTTCAAGGGCATGCCCAATGTCTTAAAGACTTCCCACCAGACTCCAAATCTAAAGGTTTCACCATTTCTCAGTAGCACCATGCTGGGGATCGAGATTTTAGTTCATGGATCCTTTGAAAGACACTTAAGATCCAAATTATAGCATCATCCAAAATAAAAAGTCCTAAAAGTCTTCTTCTATGCTCCCATCAAAAACCAAGAAGAAAGGAACTATATATATAGGGAAGTTATCTGAAGCATAAATTCTTCAGTGCAAGGTGGCAGGTCTAGGACCTGAAAATTATCTTTCAGAATAGATACTAGCACCTTTTCATCCCTCTTCCCCCATCTTTGAGCATTACTGTATGTTATAGAAGATGTTATTGATGAAACTATAAATGCTGTGGAAAGGGAGGAAAGAGCATGGGTTCTATAAAATAAAGGGGTAATGCTATCCATTTACTTTTCGAAGGACTCATTTATGCCTCTAAGTTCTAACCTTGGCTTGAATTAGACAATTAGAATGCAGAATACTTTGTCACCTTTAAGTTATGCTTTAATAGTATTCTTTTAGCCTTTTAGCAAAAGTTGCCAGAAGAGAGAAACAGATGGCATTCACTTTTAAATTCTAAAAATGTGTGAGGATTTTTCATTACATCACTTCATTCCTTCTGGACAAAGCTCCATGTGAGCAATTTTCATCTAGGGTCTAGAAGATTGTTTTTCTTCTTTAAAACCTGATTTGAATGTTTCCAATAAGAGTGATATAGTCAGTTATCCTTCCCTCCTTGCCTTGGCAGTAAGGAAGTTTGGAATCAAATTTTAGCCTAAGTGTTTGAAGTAGTATACTCATGATATAGTATATGCATTAGTTTGCTTTCTTTTTTTATTATTTCTATTTTACTAATAGCCAAGTCAAAATTTCATTTGAAAGGGAAAAAAATGTGGATAAGTGTAATACATGAATAGATGTCCTGTTACATGGGTTCTAAGATTTATGGCAAACCTTTAGAAAGGAAGCAATTTAGAACTTGTTCACCTCCCATTCTAGGGAAATTCTTTCACCTAAAATTAAGTCTCATCCATACATAATTCCATGAAAGCTACAACTAAAGCCATGAATCTTCTGATGAATTTTGCTTCTTGAACAGATCTTAGTACAAGAGGCTTAAAATTACTCCAAGAAGTGCCCATATCAAGCAGCCCCCAACTCTAGACCCAATTATTTCATGATGGACTTGCCCAACAAAGCTGTACGTGTGCAGTTATAAGATCCTTGTTCCAATGTCCATTCACCTTGAAAGTCAAGGAGTTTGACCTAAATTTTATTCCATTGCAATTAAATTGACTTATGTTCAGGATACTTCTAGATGGCATTCTGACCCATATACCCTGTTTGATAACTCTCAGAGCATTTCAAAGAAACGTTGATAGCCCTGTGCGGAATAGGGCATCTGTCACATAGCAGATGATCAATAAATAGAATTACCTTATATCACCTGTCATCATTGTCACTAAGGCAGACAGAAGTTGTCAAGTGCTCATGTTAATTTGGGCCTGTACGAGGCACTCAAGGGCCTCCAAATGCAGAGCTCACACATCCCTGCTTAGAACCCCAGGGACTTTTAGAATGCTTGTTCAAGCTCACAAAAGGCCTTTATAGGTCCTTAGGCACATTATATCATCCTCTAACCATTAAATCAATCTATTTTAATTGGATAATGACTCCATTTTGAATCTGGGAGTCCTTTCCTACCTCTCCTTGTATCTCCAGTGGCAGATTCCCAAGGTCCTGACAGCAGCAGGGCTTTTTGTCTTCCCTGCAACCCTGCAGTCACTGGGGTC